GGGCTGTAAAAACAGAAATCAGGATGAATTTGGTAGGGGATGGTTTAGAAATACACTCAGCACCATGACTGCTGTTAACCCATCAAACACACTCCCATGGCTCTAATATCTGCAGCACGTGTGTATGAATGTGTCTCAATGTCCCTTTCAATAGCATTTACCTGATCTGCCTAAATGAGTCACTGTTTCGTCAAAGACAGAGCAGTCAAACACAAAATGACTTTTTGTTGCTTGTAGACATGTTTCACCTCACCAGCATAAAGTAGGTAAAGTCAGGTGAGGAAAGAGAGAAAAGAGGGTGTTGTGGACTGCAAAACTGGCTGAAAGTTTTAATGAGGGTGTATGATATTTTGGTAACACTTTACAGCAAGGTTTCATGTTAGTTAATGAAAATACAGTTGTACATTAGTTAATACACTGTGAATTAACATGAACTAACAATGTTAACAAGCACAACTTTTGATTTTAATAATGCATTAGTAAATGTTGAAATTAACATGAACTAAGCATGAACAATACTTCTACAGCATTTATTCATCTTTGTTAATGTTAACTAACGTAGTTAACTAATGAACCTTATTATAAAGTGTTACCAATATATTTTATATTTATGTATTTTATGTATTCAAATTTTTCCAAACGTGCACAACTCAAAATGTCAGTATATGCACGTTACTACATTAACATTTAACATACAATTTAATATAGTACATTAACAATATGTATTTGTATGTATCCTTTTATGTACAACTTTCACTGTGTATCAAGTCTGTTAACTTGTTGCTTTATGTATGTAACATCAGTATTTAAGAATTAAAAAAAAAAATACAGTAAATTAAAGTAAACTAAAATAAACAATAAATAAATAAATAAACATTATTTTTTTCTATCCATTTAAAACACATTCCCGTTTTTATTTTGAGAATGATCCATCAATAATATTAATATAAAAGCATTTAAACATGGCTCTGAATCAAACCTTAATGGCTTCCTGACTTCCTTTTGTTTTCGTCAGTTATAACCCAGGAAAAGCCTTTACTTTCATTTAGAAATGAAAGTTCATGAAACTAAAACATCATCTTTTCTTAAATTTCTACAAACTTTTAAGGTAGGGAAATGCTAGTTTGCAAAGTTATTTCGCATATCTATCAACTAAATTACCTGTGTTGTTTGTTTGGTGTCCAAATCCTTATCTAGGAATGTTTCCTATAGTTAAACAGCATTTAGATCACAGAACCGTTCTAATGGCTACAAATATGCAATTTTATCTTTTTAAAGATAATCTTATGCAAGCATAAAATCAACCACAAAACTGATTTGACTGATCTCTATGCCATTTTTTTTTTGGTGTTAGCAGTTGGCATTTTAATATTTTATCAACTTTAAGATCACTATGTGTCACAGAAAGAACAGTAACATGAAGCAGTGTTTATAACCACAGAGTCAAGTTAGCATTAACTAATAACTTTAAAAAGAAATAAAAGTAATTTTCCTTTGAAATAACAAGCACTGGGTAAAGTTAATAAGGTCAAATTTGACTTCATGTTGACTTTAATGAAGAGTAGGGATTTCAAAAAAAGACAAAGAATAAAAGAAGACAAAAGAAAAGTCACAAACCACAGAGTTTGTGTGGGCAGTTACAATGCTGCTGGACTGGTCAGCGTTTCTTCAATTGGATGCGTACCAACATATTCATCCACGAGCAGCAGCATAGCGGTAAATTAGCCCAGTCTCCACCGAGTACAGAAAAACAATAAAGCCCCTAATAAACCTCTTGAGAGCTTTTAAATCTCACTCAGTGTTTGACTTCTTCAGTCCACTATAAACAAACTCAAAAGCACAGGTATGCTGCTCAGATCACAGATAAAACATTATTTTCTATGCACAGGGAACAACTTGCTGTCACCCTCCTATATGAATGACTGTCAAGAGCAATGCTTGTATTTCTAAATGCCAAAATAATGGTTGATCTTCTTGCAAAGCAAAGAACTAAATACAATAACAATCTTGCACAGTTTATACTCTGCCTTTGCATTGTCTGCAAAAAGTGAGAAGTCATGCCAAGGCAAAAGTCAGTAACTTCCACATTATCAATACTTGTGTAACGAATCAGCTCATGAGGAAATATGAATAATTAATCATGTTGCTGAGCACCATTTACAAAATCATTATAGTAACACCAGTATAAAATCTAGTGATCATGGTCTATCTCAACATATAGTAATGAGACTGTATTCATTGTTTTCTGACCATAACAACTAGACAAAAAGCTAAACATGTGAGTGAAGACCGTTTTGCAACTAATGTATTTGCAGTGTTTACTAACATAAAAGGATGCAAGACATAGTCTAATTGCTTTTACATTGGACTGAATAAAAATAGCCAAGCCTAAAAGGACGACTTGTGAATTAATGTGAACGCCAGCAAGTAGGAATAATGCTCGAAATGCTTTTGGATGAAAAATCTCCAATGACGTTTATTGCCATGGATTTTATCGGGTTACAAAAAAAAGGTAGGATATGGATTTAATTGTAACTAACTGTTACTGATTTTATGTGTGATCATGCTGCATGCTACACTGTCACGTCATTTGAGTCCACATGCGTGCAACTAGAAGTGGGAAGCCCCAGACTGACAGGCCGGCACTGAGTGAATAATCTGCATTCTAAAAAGAAAAAAAAAGCCTTTAAAGATTATTTACGATTTTACTATTGCTGCCAAGTTATCTAGTCTTTGCTTGTTTACAGTCCTTTGTTATATGTAGCAGTTTGAGATCGCGGTCTATCCGATTCGTTTGTCCAGTAAAGTGCTTCAGTGACAGATGTATGAAAGTACACAGGGTACACTGTAATTTAAATGTGGCAGATTTTAATGGAGAGTAAAAACAAAAGCAGAATACCATGTAACTCCAGGCCGGCACAGTAACTTCATATTGACGCACGGCTAAACAAAACCAGAGTACCGTAACTCAATTTGAGTGTCCCAAAACAAAGTCAAAGCACAGTAACTGGTGTTATATAGTGTTCTGCCTTGGTTTCTCTTTGGCTTTTCAAAGTTAATGTTAAGACAACCCATTATTTTCTCAAAAAAAAAAAACTAAACTGACTGAAGATACTTATCCACATGATAAAGGAGGTCTTTAAGGTCCCAAAAATTATAAATAACTAATTTTTGACCAAAAATTAGTCGACTTAGTTACGGACTTCAGCACAGGAAGATCTTAGAGCTGCCCTCTCACATGCTGTATATATATATATGCGTGACCCTGGACCACAAACCCAGTCTTGAGTCGCTGGGATATATTTGTAGCAATAGCCAAAAATACATTGTATGGGTCAAAATTATTGATTTTTCTTTTATGCCAAAAATCATTAGGATATTAAGTAAAGATCATGTTCCATGAAGAAATGTTGTACATTTCCTACTGCAAATATATTAAAACTTAATTTCTGATTAGTAATATGCATTGCTAAGAACTTCATTTGGACAACTTTAAAGGCGATTTTCTCAATATTTAGATTTTTTTGCACCCTCAGATTCCAAATAGTTGTATCTCGGCCAAATATTGTCCTATCCTAACAAACCAAACATCAATGGAAAGCTTATTTATGTATAAATCTCAATTTAAAAATTCAAATTCAAAATTACCCTTATGACTGGTTTTGTGGTTCAGGGCCACATATATACATATATATATATACTGTATGTGTGTGTGTGTGTGTGTGTGTGTGTGTGTATGTGTGTGTGTATGAGCAGCAGATCTGTGTAGTTTTAACCCATATGTATAAATTATGTATAAATTGTATAAATTATTTAAAAGCTTTAAAAATTTTGACATTTTGCTAAAGTTGGTCTCTAAGGTAACTTTCGATTTCTGAAAATCACAAGACTTTCAGAGACAGGAAAAACAAGGAGAACACAGGAATGTTTAGACAATCAGAATATCAACACAGGACAGGTTAGGGAGGACCCGGAGCTCCTCTGTAATTGCTCAGTAATATCCATCTGTCACTCAGGGCCGGATGCTCTAATGGTATACGACAGCAATTATGTCGTTATATCTTCAATATGCCCAAGACCTGGAGGAGGCATCTGAGTAATGGAGCCAGAGAGAGAGAGGAGGAGGAGGTCAACAGGAGGAGGATAGAGTTTTATAAATTATCATACCACTGCAAGAAAGAGAATAATCCCAAGAAAAAGGAAAGTTTCATCCACAAAAAGCAAACTATATGGGTTTAAAAATGACATGAGGGTGAGTAAATAATGGCTCTGAGTGAACAATGACCTTATAAAATGACGATAAAATACCCACATAACATGCTATAGCTGAGCAGACAAGTCATAAAGGCACTTAGCAAGGAAACAATAATAGAACTAAAACAATGGTTTCTCTCTCTTTAAACAGATACACACACATATATTATAGCAAACCACAATATAGTCTGGGAAACACCAGAAACTAAAGAGGATAAAACGACGGAAGACTTGATCAATGAGAATCCATTTAGCCAAGAGTAGACTCAGAGAATGAAGATGAAAGCAGCAGGTTCATGAGTTTGTCCTGTCAGATCACGTCTTCAATGAACAAGTGCTTTGCTATTTAATACAATTCAACACTAGCATGCCTAATGGCTACGAATGCTAGCCTGACCTAAGCTAGCACAGAAATGCAAAAAAAAAAATTAAAAACTCAAATGTTTTATTTTAACTTTCCTAGACTATATTAAGATGGCAAATATAAAAAGCAAAGCATCATGGACGTTTAACAAACGTACGCCAGGACAGAACCAGACAGTCTTTACTCTAAAATAAACATCCCTCAGAAAGAACCGGTAAAACATAGTTCATCAGGGCTAATCTTAAGAAAATCAGGCCAAGGGGGGGATGCAGCAAGAATCTGAAGTCAGTTTTGTGGAGCAACTAACTAAAAACTAGCAAACCAAAACAACATTTTTCATAACAGTTAGGCTTGCTGTGGTAGTCGGTGTTACCGGTATTACCTGGTGTTCGGCTGTACACCGAATGCATTACTTGCCCACCGCAGTGTAAACTAGTTTGTGACTGTACTGTTGTGTTGTGTTTTTCATTAAGAATATGATAAATCCATCTTTCAAGCGTTCATTTTAGTCTTAGAAAGTGAAAGGTGTAAAGATGTAAGCGCAACAGACAATTGCATTTTCTTAAAAAAACGTAACACCAAGACTGTGAATTCAAAAGCATGTGTACAAAGCTCCGGACAGTTCATGTCAGTGATTTGGTTGACAAAAAGATAATTCATTTGAATTCCTGCACTACAATAGGTGTTCATGACTACAGTTATATAAAGTGCTGTATCATCCAACAATAACCAGGGGTTAAAGCAAAAACAAATCCCGAGCCTGAACTTTTTTCCAGGGGTGGGGTGGGGCAGGGCTGGGGGGCAGCACATGCAAAGCATGCCATGACTGACTGTGGCAACCTTAACATTTGAAAGGATATTATGTTCTAGGATACTATGGCAAAGTTATAGCTTTCCTTATTCAAACTGATTTTTTTTTTTCATGAATACATGGTTGACCTGAAGAATGAAAGCTATATCATACACTTGGAAAATTATGAGCTATATCACCGCTTATCAACACTTATCAACACAGGGGTGTGGCAATACACTTAGCTCACGAGATGAGACAAAATACAGATACTTGGTTCACTAGAACGAGACAATATTTTAATACTATTTTTAAGAAATTTTCAATGACAAAATATTTTTATTTTAATTACAAAAAGTAACACAATGCAGTTGTATTTTGAAATATTTTAACTAATCTAGGGCTGTAACTGATTATTTTGGTAATCAAGTAATTTACTGATTGACGATTGAGTAATCTGATATTTTTAGTAACACAAATTGACCTAAGTGAAAACCAGACTTTAGCATGACTATTTATATATAAACTAACGATGAGGCAATGATAATTGGCTCAAATAAAATATCAAAACCAAGTAATTACATGGTTTTATTAAACAACACTGTTAAAATACATAATGTAATATGCCTATGCATAATATGAACATAACCAACTTAAGTACATTATGTATTAATACTTGGTTCACTAGAACGAGACAATATTTTAATACTATTTTTAAGAAATTTTCAATGACAAAATATTTTTCTTTTAATTACAAAAAGTAACACACTGCAGTTGTATTTTGAAATATTTTAACTAATCTAGGGCTGTAACTGATTATTTTGGTAATCAAGTAATTTACTGATTGACGATTGAGTAATCTGATATTTTTAGTAACACAAATTGACCTAAGTGAAAACCAGACTTTAGCATGACTATTTATATATAAACTAACGATGAGGCAATGATAATTGGCTCAAATAAAATATCAAAACCAAGTAATTACATGGTTTTATTAAACAACACTGTTAAAATACATAATGTAATATGCCTATGCATAATATGAACATAACCAACTTAAGTACATTTTGTATTATAACAAATACTTGCAAAGGGCGCCAAAGGCCTGGTGACGTTTCACTTTACAGCGTGATTAAACGATGTTTAAATCCATAAAATTTTAATATTTGGCAACATGCATTTATTTTGAAATCGCGATGTACAATAAATGGCATATTTAGAAATAGGTTGATGTTTTCTGGCAAAGATTTATAAATTATTTACCTTACAAATCTAGTGAGATAATGCACACTATTTTCTCAGATGAACGTTAAGCAAATCAAATTCACTGCATATGCAGAGGAAGAGTTTAGCTCCTTTCACACATACAGTCTTTACAGGTAAATTACCGGTAAGTTACAATTAAGAAATCATGTGTGAATAGGACCTTTTCAAAAATCCCGATAAATTTGTTCTGGAAATCATATCGTTCTTATGGAGATGACATGATTACTCTGAGCTGTTTAAAAATCTCCGCTGCTTTTTAATTAGTAAATATGCACTAGATTGACATCTTTGACTATTGCGCCTCGCAGCTTTTTCAACGTGTCGTGGTTCTCCAATCATGTTTATAAGAGCAAACCATTCTGATTGGCTAGTAATGTTAGTTTGGTTGAGACTGAAAGCTGACTTCCTCTCGGTAGGCAAACTCATTGACTCGAAAGTTTTTTTTAAATGTAGAATTTTTTTTTTTCCGCAGCCGAATGCTGCACGCTGGAGATCCGGCACAGAGCCGGAGAACTTTAAGCCCTGAATAACACTATCATTCATAAGTTTGGGGTTGGTAATATTTTTTGAAAAAAAAAATTATCTTCTGCTCACCAACGCTGCATTTATGTGATTAAAAAAAAACAGTTAAAACTAAATATTTCACAATATTACTATCATTTAGAATTGCTATTTTCTATTTGAATATATTTTAAAATGTAATTTATTCCTGTGATGCAAAGCTGAATTTTCAGCAGCCATTAAGTCACATGATCCTTCAAAAATCATTCTAATATGCTGATTTGCTGCTCAATAAACATTTCTGATTATCATCAATGTTTCAAACAATTGTGACAGTTGGATCTTGAACTTCCTTGTTTGTAACTTAAACCTTCAAGAGTTTACATTTGTATCAAGCAGTACAACATAAACCAAGTGAGCTGTTATGTTCTTATTCACAGGAAACCTACAGCTCACATTTCAGACTCTCAAAACATCAGCTCTTCCTAAATTACTTACACTTCCCATGTTTGCAAGCAATAAGCTGCACTGCCACCAAGTTTGTGTCTTTTGTTTGCCTGTGGTATAATTATGAACCCATTATGCCACATGTCTTTGGAGACATAGAGGAAGGGGTTGGATAGTTGCACAAACCATATCCTGCTTTTGAAGATGCTAAAACCAGACACATTCAGACATACAACCACAGGAGTAACACTGTGTTACTATTTATGCCTGCTGTCCCAGTCGGGAGTTTATTTGAGAGAGATATTCTGAAGCAGCCATTCATGAAGAAAAGAAAGAAGTCAAGACTGGGAATTCCTGACAGCTTATTACACACAGGAAACAAAAGAGTCATGGATGAGATCTCATTAACATCTTAATTGTTTTCTGACATAGTAATGTTAACATGAAACAGCATTTGCAACCATTTTATTATTGTTAAAGAGAACAATTTAAATAAGACGATTGATAATAAAGACAATAAAGTTACTGAACTGAACATGTTTTTCTCTCTCTCTCTCTCTCAGTGTCTCTCTCTCTCAATGGAAAAGAATGCAGTCTTTGCTGAAACCTGTCATTTACTGTGCGGCTGCTGAAAACAGTCTGGACTCTTTCACCCCATCTCTGTCTACGGCCTCTAAATCTATGGAAAAGCTTAGATTTCAACACACTGACACAGACAGGAAAATATGCATAAATCTCAGCCTGACAATATCTCTTACAGCTTGTCTATCTATCTAAGACCACCATAGCAACCAACTAGAAACCCCCTAGTAACCCAGAACACACCGGAAACTGTCTAGCAATCACATAGCAATGCCCTAGAAACCACCGTTCACACTAGCAACAATGCAAAATGCTTTCACAAATGCCTAGCAATGCCCTAGCAATACCAGAACTTCTTGAAACCACCTTAGCAACACTCTAGCAACACAACTTCTGGATGGATGTAATAGAAACCACTCAAAGAACCCTAACAACTATGCACAACACCTTTGCAACTGCCTAGCAATGCTTTAGCAGCCATCGTGAACAACTTAGTAGCCATGCAAAACATCTTAGCAACCACCCATAACTTCTTGAATCCACCTAGCATCACCTTAGTAACGTAATAGTAACCACTCAAAACTTCCTAGCAAACACATGGTCCTGTCTAGCGATCACATAGCAAGATCCTAGCAACCACCCTGAACACCCTATGCATAAAGCATTTTCAACTGCCTAGCAATACCCTACCATGCTGACCACTAATATAAAAGCATGTTGAACACACTAGCAATTGTCTAGAATCACTTTAGAACCTAAAAATGTAAACCACCTAGCACCACCTTAGCAACATCATGGCAACCATTCAATTTTCCCTAGAAACCACTCAGAAAACCCCAAAAACGGTCGAGCTATTGAATAGCAATGCTCCAACTAGCAACCACCCAAAACACCCCAGCAACTATGCACAAGCTTTGCTTCCTAGCAACCATCCTGAACACCTAAATAACTGCATAGCAACACCTTACCATTCACCCAGAACTTCTTGAAACCTCCTAGCACCTTAGTAATATTAAAGCAACCACCCAAAACTCTCTAGCAATACCGTAGCACACAACCACCCAGAACACCTTAGAAATAACCTAGCAACCACTCAGAACACCATATAAATTCCCTAGCAACCACTCAGAACAGCACTCAGCAACTATGCACAAAACATTTTCAACTGCCTAGCAACACCTAAGCAACCACTTAGAACATATTTAAACCCCCTGGCATCACCTTACCAATCATATTGTCATCTCAACCACTCAAAACACCCAAGCAACCACCCAGAACACCCTAGCAACTACCCAGAACTCCATAGCAACCATCAAGCAACACCTTAGCATTACCGCTGCAACCACCCAAAACAGTCATTCTACCATGAACATGTTAGAATTGTTTTTCCTGGATCCTTAACTAATATCCTTCCAGTAATCAGCATGGCCAATTACAACTCCATTATGAAAGAGCGCTGACTGAGTTTTTTCCCAGATGTCAATAGCTGGGTCCCAATTCAGAGGTTGCATCCTTCGAAGGCTGCATTCGAAGACAGATTGTATCACCACCCACGACGAAGGATGTCCCAATTCAAAGGCTCCCTTAAATGCGGCCTCGAAATGCATCCTTCGTTTCCCAGGGAATGAAGGATACAACTGATGTATTCTTTATAGCCCATGCTATCCCGAGATGCATTGCGCGTCAATGACGACAGGATTTTTTTAAGAGACAATGCTGGATTACACATTTAAATGTAAGTATTGGGTTTCCACTGACACAAATGTACAAATCTGAGAAAAAACTTAAAAGCTAGAATTCTACTGTATTTTGTCGCACCACGCC